TGTAGTGCTTGGAGGATAGTCATCACCTGCTGTAGGAATCTGCTCATTGCTCACCAGTTGCACAGGTGAGGAAAGACTGGGAGAGACTGTCCTCTCTGCTGTTGGGCCCTGGGGGAGGGTTTGCTGAGTCTGATTATAAGACCCTTGTCCTGCTCACTGTTATGATTCATTGTGGACTAAAGATATTTTCCAGTCAAGCTGTGTAGTAAGGAAAAGGCACATCAAAATCAACTGATGCAAACAAATCCTCTTTCCTGAGTGGCAAAATTATCAGAGGCTATTTCAGATCTGAGCCTGTCAACAAAACCATTACTTGGCTGTCTGTGCAAGTGAAATAAGCAGGGCAAGGATACCAGCTCTGTAGTTTGATCATCCATGCTGTTTAATTGCAAATCTCCCTGGCATAGTTTTGAGCTCAGTCCCAGACAATGCCTGGGTACAGCTGGGGGATAGTACATGCCAGGGACTATTCTCAGGAGACAGGCAGTGTTCTTTGTCGTGGGGAGTGAGGACAGCTTCATCCTATAACATAAGCAGTCCCGGACCACTTACCCTTAGGAAGATCGAAGAGGCATGGATGTAGCTTATATGTTGAAATGAGGTCCACAGTTCTGTCCACAGGGACTAGTGGTTATAAATCCTTTGCCCTGTGAGAATCTCCTGCTACATCTGATTAAGCACCTATTTCCCACCATACCATGCTCTTATAAAATGTCCCTAAAAAAGAAAGGGGGTAGATGGTCTTGCAGAGAACAGGCAGCTTAATTATCTAATAATGGGAGGCAGTATCTGCTCATAGTCTAATGTTATTTTCTTATGGGCAGCGTACACATGAAAAAAATTAGTGCCACAAGTAAGAAGGGAAGGAGAGAAAGAATGGGATGGTCAGATGAAGTCTTGAAACCCCCCAATGCCAATAATCTGGGAGCAGTCCAAACAAAGCACATGAATTTGTGAGAAACAGTGTAGTTGTTGTTGGTCTACCTGACCAGTGATTTTTTAGATTGCTGATCAGAACAAAGAAGAGCCAAGCTCTTTTCCTTATCTCTGCTCCTGAGGATGTGCTCAGCACTAGAAAAGTCTCTCCAAATATTTCGGAAGACTAGGAAACCTTGATGGATTTTGAACAATGCAAAGTGAGATGACTTCCAGATGTTGTATGGGAGGCACAACCCAAGAGCACTTTTTCCTTTCCACTCTGAGGCAGAATGAGGAAGACTGAAAATGAGAGACTTTGGGCTCAAGCCAAATAAAAGAGATATGCTAAGAAGTTATCTTTATGAGCTCTATGCATAACACATTTACAGGTTAAATATTTTCCAGGTATGTCGTTTCCTGTTGACAAACAAACCAGAAATTCTATCTCACATCAGGATATTTCCCATGGGCAATGTAAAGCTGGTGTGTGTGTGTAGCCTCTAAATCCATAAGAATGAAAAAAAAAAAAAAATCAACAAAATATGAATTAAAAAAATAAAAGCTGAAAAAGATACATTATTTTGCTCATGTAAGGCCAGAAAAAAAAGGAAGATAAATTTAAATGAAGAAAACCCACACCCCAAGTTTGAAACACAATGCAAGTGAGAAAATAATCTGAGGATCATGTTCTGGTTTAGCCATGAGGAAAACTGGGAAGCTGGGTACACTCTGCTCTTCCTTTATACCACACACGCAGTATTTTGAAGAGGGTGTGGGACTGTGCCCTTGGGCACTCATAGCATGTCTGTGCTTGTCACCTCAAGGACAAGAGACTTTGCTCCTAAATGCAGTTATTGGGAATTCTATCACTCAGTGAAACTACATCAGCACTGAATTTGGCTTGAAGCATTATTATGTAGCCTTGAAAATGTTCTCCTCATGAGTCAGAAATGGCCTAAAATCCAGGAATTCTTGTTACAAATTAATACTGGAAACAGCATTGATGTCACTTGTACATGTGGCATGCTGGGTACCTCGAAGTGTATTTAGAGCAGGCAGTAAACAATGGCAAACAAGCGGAAGTAGAATTTTGCCTGCCTTTTTAATCTATATTTAATTTTATATTGCAATGTACGTGTATATAGCACTCTGCCAATCACAATACACTTTTATTGACCTACTTGTGTTCCTGTTTATTGCTAGTGACAGCTGTTGTCAATGACCTGGAGAAAATAAATTGGGAATAAAGCAAGAAGACACTGATTGGTCAAAAAAATAGTTATTGTTTTAAATCAAATATAAGGGATTTAGTGTCTTAGAAACTTTAGAGTCTGATTAAAATGAAAAGTCTAAAGCCGTGTTTGGATTACAGTAATTCAGAACTTCATGGATTATAAAATGAAACACTTCATAGGCATTATTTTGGACAAATGCTGCCATTAGGATTACTACATCATTTTAGACCTACTGTATCACATTTCTTCAAATCCTCTGCTGTGGTACTACATGAATTCGAAAGACACTGGCTGCCATGTTTAATTTGATCCTTCTAACGTGAGTCAAATTTGTTGACATTTAACATTTGCAGCCAGTCTAATATGCTACATTTCAGTGACTTCTCTGTATAGTAATTTCAGAATCAAGGTCTAGAATAGCTGGTATTCTGGTGGTGTTTCCTAGATACAGATTGTGGATGACTATTGTAGTACATGAAAATCTCTCTCCTCTAGTTAGCACAATAAGCATCTAACCAGTTCTGTTTTCTTAAGGGCAAATTAAGACATATTTGGTTCTGTGTTTTATCTTATTTGGCTTTTTAGATTGCTTTTTTTAATGAGCCACAAGTTGCTTGGGGACATTCTACATGAAAGGCACTATATATGAACAGTTTAATTGTATCTCTCTCTGAAAAGGTGAAATAGTTTTCTTGAAGATGCCTGCCAGAGAAATCACATGCATCACTAATGGAGAAAGCAAGTGATAAAAGACTCGTAGACAATAGAGATGGTGAAAAAAGTAGTTTTTCTATGACAGTATTCTAGGGGAAAAAATGAAACAAACCAGTCCCCATTTTTGTCAGCATCTTGAAGGAAAATCAGATGAAGATACAATAATTTTGTTGTAGCTGTTTCTGACTGTGATTTTTTTCTAATCCAAACAGATGAGCATATCCTACAATTTTTACTTTTATCAGGCACACTGATACCTTTCTGATTTGTTTGTATATGTTTAAACTGCAGAAAAATTGAACAGTTGCAAGTAAATCGCAGATGCTAAAGTATTTTAAGAGATAGGAAGAGTTAGGTAGCGCTTCTAAACAGTTTCAAATTTCCTCAATGAAGACTGTTGAATACATGTACTGGAAGAGTTTAAAACATGGAGGGAAGTGGATAAGGAGGGAAAATAAGAACGAATACATGGGAGAGAGTTTTCTGAAAAAGGGGCAGAAAAATATATTAAACTTATATCTCCTTATGACTGCCATGAATACACACAGAAATTAATCTCACCAGCCTTGGTTTTTTTTTTTACATACAAACCAGTGACATCCTTTTGAAGTCTATGGGAATTATTTTATACCTTATACTAGGAAACTTGGATTCTCTATATGAGAACTTGGAATTCTCTATATGAGAGGCTGCTGTCCCTCAAGTTGTCTCTGAGACCAGGTAGGTGTTGTTGTTGTTGTTATTATTATTATTGTTAAATCCCAGTGCTGGTAGAAAGCAGTTGCTGAGGAAACAAAGCTGTTATCTTGGGTTTTCCTTTGGTATGAAAGTTAGACATGTTGTGGGTGAAAGTCTGGGAGTGTGAAAGGTATGTCAAGGTCACACAGCTTATGGAGCTCCAGGCAGTCTGAAGCATGGGTTAAATGGAACCTCCTCTACACTAGGCAGAAAAAAAAAATCAGTATTTTCAGGCCAGAACATTACCAGACAAAAAGAATCTAAGATTTCAAATTTCAGTTTCACCTTTACACCTCATCTAAATAATACCACATCCTAAATGACCTTGGGAAACAAACCAGCAATTTTAATTTACCAAAAAGAAAAGAAAGACAATTACAAGCTTGAATTATTTTCAGAGGAGGAGAGCAGGGGATGTTTGAAGGATGTAGTGGAGGTGGGCCAGATATCTCTCCTGGTCCTCATACTAGCCACTGCTGTTTCCTACTCTGCCTGCTTTTGTGCTACCTTTCTCTGAGCAGCAGTAGCAACAGCAGCAGCAGTGAAGGCTCAGGGATGCAAGGCTCCCATATGTCCTCTCTCCTTGCTCCAAATGGTGCACAAGGGTGCCCCTCTCATCCCACCCTGCTATGGTTCTGCATATATTAACAGTCTGATGTGTGCATGGTTAATGCCATAGCCTTGAAGGTACTAATAAAGCCTTAATGGCCCTGACCCACCTCATGTGGGGCCTTCCCCCCTCTGCCCATGGGCTAAAGAATTCCATTTAAGCTCAGGTCTGTGCCTTCACTCCCTGTCCAACTCATTGTAGAATGTGTGTCTGTCTTCAGCCCTTTCACAGCCATGCTTGTGCCTGGCTATGGCCCCAGTTGATGTGGACCCTGAGCACTGTCTTCCTGGCTAGACCTCAAATCTGCCTTGTCACTACACGTGCCTGGCAGTCACTAGGCTGTGCCTGACCCTCACAGGATCTCATCCTGACCTGACACCTCACCTGATCTTGGGTCTGCCTCATCACCATGGACTTGCCTGAGGATCTAGGTGCTTGGATGAAGCTGATTCCACTCTTCGGCCTGTCCTGCTCACCTTACTTGGGTGTTGTGGAACTGGACCTCTGGCTGGCACAGTCTCTGCCCTGCCAGCTGTGTTCTGCTCCTTGGCTCCTGGGTCCCTGCCCTTTAAGGAGCAGCCAGTCCTGACTGCTCCCTGATGATTAAAAGCTTAATTTATGATGAAAAATGAGTTTACGTAGAATGTCTCATTCATTTCTCAGAGTACAGTATTACTATAATACTCTGTACACGTCTCAGTTCCTGCTGGGCAAAATGTATTTTTTCTCTCTTTAGATGCAGAAAATGACATTGTTTTCTTTTTTTTAAAGTCATCTGTACTTACATATCATCAAAGGTAAGCTTTGTCCTTCTGCAGTCCCTGGGTGTGCTGGACAGAGGTGACCAAGGCTCTGTTTGAGACTGTGGCTTATTGCAGAGAAGAGCATTTTCTGAATTGATGTGAACTGCTTTCTAGACAACAAACAGCAGAGAAGACACTGAGGAACTGGCTATTAACTTCAAAAAAATCAACTAATAAACAACAGATCATCTTTGCATTGTGTTGTAAACTGGCAGTTAGTTTTCCTACGAGTTTAGCAGGGGGTATGTACAACATCAGCCATGTCACTGATAGCCACAAATTCACAGATATTGCTCAGAGCACTTTGTAAAGGGCTTGAGTTTCAATGTGATATACAGAAGGAAAAGAGCAAAAATATTCGTAACTATCAAAACACTCTGAAAACTGAAATCATTAAAGAATAACTCTGTTGTGACCATTTAGAAGATCAAGTTATATCTCTGGTCTTCGGCTTCCAAACTAGCATTGTACCATTCCCTGGGAGAGCAAGGCTCACTTGTTTGTTTCATACTGCACTGCTGATGTGTCCATTATGTATGAAATTGTAGCCCATGGTACCACTTTCTTTCTGCTTTGGATCCCTGCTCAGCTTGAAAGACCACTACCCTGTGCCCAGCAGAAGCAAATCTTCTGGTAGAGTCTCACACATTCCCTCAGCTGCAGCCCTGTTTTTCACATGGCCTCATGAGCCCTTTGTCCTACTAAATGACCTGATGTGTGGGCTACTAGACACTGATACAGTTCAGACCAGAGGGGCGCAGACTGTTTTTGGTTGATAACCTCTCAGAAAACACCATGTGACAGACAGAGATGCAATAGGAAAATAGACAGAAAGGCCACTCCCTGGCTTGCGATCCCTGACAGAAGAGATCACTGGACCATCAGCTAGATGTCAGATGATGGGAAGATGGGATAAAACAAAGCTAACTTTAACATTTATAGTTCATGAGCTCTCATCTCCTATATGCTACATCCAGATCAGTTCAGCAGGTTAAAGTTTTCAGATGAATAACCAGATACATAAGGATTCTATTGCAAAGGTTGTTAAAATGTTGACCATGACCAAATGGTGCATTGCTAGGGTATGCAGAAAATCTCTGAAATGCATTTGCTAAGGGTGTGGATCATAAAGCAATCACCCTTTACTTTTGATTTCCAGCATATTTGCCTGTGAAAGAATTTAAATTCTTTTCAAGATACCCAGTGAAGACTCGTATTGTTATAATTCTGAATGGGTTATAAACGTCTAAACTTACGTTTTAGAAGTTAAATGTTTAAAAACTTAAATTTAATCCATAAAAAAATATAGTATCGACTATGACATGTTAAAATGCTTTTTATCGGAATATTTTAATGTAGTTAATTTTAATCCCGTTTACCAAAAGTACAGAAGATATTCTTGAAACACATATTTTATGATAACTTGTTTTTTATCAAGTCTCCAAAATTAAGACTACAATTACTACTTCCCCTTCACTTTCAAAAAATAAATATATTTAAGTACATATACTTAAAATATACTGTGGGGCCAGTTATTCCCACAGCAAAAGTGGCTGGAAGAGACCACTTCTACAGCTCAGGTAGTTTGTTTTCCTAAAAGTTGCTTACGTGCTAACACTTAGGCTTTTGAAGCCTCTTATGTATCAATGAGCAAATACAATAAATAGATACAGAATAAAATGTATAAATGGTTTTTGTAGCAAGGACAGGATTGTGGGCCTTTCTAAGAAGCAGCAGACTGCCCTAATGGCTTGACTAGATGCTCCAGCAGTGGACATCAGTATGATGGTACCCAAATTGCTTCTTCTAGATATTTCACACACAGCAGAATAAATAGCCTCAAGGGAGAATATGACAATATTCTTCCCTTAATATTCTATTGGCAGTATGCCATAGGCTGGAGGGTAGGGTATGATTTTGAGAGAGAGACGTGAATTCACTCAATAGGGTATGATTTTGAGAGAGAGACGTGAATTCACTCAATCAGAAGAGCTAACAGGCTCTTTGCTCCAGAATCCTAATTACAGAACCCATACATAAATGGGGGCAGCATCTATCCCTTTCTCTCTGTTCTCTGAAGGCAGTGGCTACCAAGCAGTGTAGTAACATCGTCTTACCTGGAAAAGCTCTTTGGACACATTTAGCGTGAGCAAGACTCTCTGGTAAGAATCTAAACACTTGGGCTCTGATAGAGCTGAGTTGTGAGGGTGATGCTAAGCTGTTCACCAGTGTCAAGTGTAAGTAGAAGTGTCTGAGAAAGCTGGTTGTAAGATATAGTAACTTGTTTGGTGGCACACTCATGTTTAGGAGTGGCTGAGTAGAGGCCTTATACAGTAGAGGCCTTGTGAATCACACTTTTGGATGTAGAGGGCTTGCATCATGCCCAAGCAATACTCTGGAGACCTAAAGCCATTTGTTTTGGACCATTAGCTTTTACCTTTTGTTTATGTAGCCTCTGTTGTTTGCCCGCTTTACAGCCTGCCCTCTTTCTTTTCTTCCGTGCCTTACTAAACTTGAAACCAGGAAAACTGAACTTATAATACAATATTCATTATTCCTTTTTTTTTTTGCATAACATTCTGCAAAACTATCACAGACTGCAATACAAAGTGAAAAATATACAGCTATATACTGTCGTGGTTTAAACCCGGTCAGGTAATTCGTTCGCTCACTTCCCCCCCTTTCTTGCCCTCCCCCTGCTCTCGGAGGGACGGAGAGGAGAATCAAAAAGAATGCAACTCCCACGGGTTGAGATAAGAACAGTTTAGTAACTAAGGTATAACACAAATCACTACTGCTACCACCAATGATAATAATGATACAGGAAATAACAAGGGAAGAGAATACATCATCTCACCAGCAGCCGACCGATAACTCGCCCCCCCAGCCCGACCAAGCTCTGACCGATACCTCCTCCAACCCTGCAGTCTCCCAGCCTCCGGCTAACTCCCAGTTACATCCTGGGCATGACGTGCTGTGGTATGGAATACCTCTTTGGTCAGTTTGGGTCAGGTGTCCTGTCTCTGCTTCCTCCTGGCTTCCCCTCCTCCCTGGCAGAGCATGAGGCTCACAAAGTCCTTGGCCAAACCTAAACATCACTATCAGCTCTGTTCCCAAGCTGAAAGTCAAAACACTGCACTGCACCAGCTACCAAGAAGGGGAAAAATGACTGCTACTGCTGAACCCAGGACATTATCCACCCCTTATTCCATACCATTCACGTCATGCTCAGATCCCACATTTTCAATATACCATCACTCTTATCTAGGTGCACTCTTATCTTAGTGCATGGACCAGTCCCTATAAAGCTGCTGCATCCATCTGGTCCATGATGTCAGGTTCCATCTCTTGTAACAGTCAGAGCAGGAGAGACTGTGTGCAGTGTTCACACTCGTGAATAACTAGGGCAATAGTGTCCATTGCTAAGTCCACCCCTCGATCATGAGTCCATCTCTGTGTTGCATCTCTGCTCTGATGGCCTGAAGTGCCATGGGCCCACCAGGCTTAAAATAATTCACTGTCCCCTTCAGCAGTTTCTGCAGCTTGTTGCTGGGGACTCCATACAGCTGCCTTCCATCTCCGATGCTTCCAAAGCACTGGAGGGGCCCAGTGGACTAGATACTTGACCATACTGTCCCACACACCCTGCCACTCATCACTGTCCAGCCTTGGGGAAAATCTCCTGGTCCCACTATATCGTTGTCTAACCCCAGACAAGACCCAAACCTGACTCTGCTTAACTTTTGAGATCAGACAAAATGGTTGTGGGTAGCACACAGTCTGTATGTGTGCCAACATACTGATCCCCATCACAATCAGCAGGCAGGTCCCAAGGACACCCAAAGGCCATTCAAAACCTTCAGAACTCTCAGTTGATGCTGCTGTACTTGTCACTGGGGCTGGTGTAGCCGCTGTGCTTGTCACTGGGGCTGGTGTAGCTGCTGTGCTTGCCGGCTCTCCCACCGCCAGCTTCTCTTTTCCTGAGTCCAGCTCTTCCTCCTCTGCCTTGCTGGGAAATGCTGCCTGGTCTCCTGCATCCTCCCGGGGCTCGGCGGGCGGCCGCCGGGGAATGCTCTCGGCCGTCTCAGGGCGGGGCTCGGCCGCGGGGCTCGGCTCCTCCGCGGGGCTGGGCTCGGCCGCGGGGCTCGGCTCCTCCGCCGCCTTCTCCCGCTGCTCGGCAGCCGCCTCCTTCCTCTCCTCGACCGCCCCGGCCTCCTCCACCGGCAGCCGTCCCCTCGCGGCCTCCGGCCCTGCTCCCGCCGCCGCTCGGTCCCCGGGGCCGCTCTCCCGGGCCGGTTCGGCTGCCGCCGGCTCCCGGGGCCGCTCCCCCTCGGCTCCCCGCAGCCTCACGAAGATGGAGAGTAGGGTGAGGGCCAGGACGGTGAAGAGCAGCCGGACGGCCAGGTACAAGTCCACGGCCACGTCCGTCCCGCCCTGCTGCTGGAGCCTGCCCGTATTACAAGCCATTGCCATAAAGCACAGTGAGACAAGAACCTTAGCCCAGGCCCCATACTTGATAAACACTAACACAGCGAATACCGGCTCTACGTAAGTTACAACATTCTGAAGCTGTGAGATCAACAAGAACAACTCTGAGAGCCAATAAATCAGCATTGTGACGAGTGACTATTAATCCAGTCAGATCTGTCGTTATCTCAACCCTTTGTGCCCCACGTTGGGCGCCAAAAAGAACTGTCGTGGTTTAAACCCGGTCAGGTAATTCGTTCGCTCACTTCCTCCCCTTTTCTTGCCCTCCCCCTGCTCTCGGAGGGACGGAGAGGAGAATCAAAAAGAATGCAACTCCCACGGGTTGAGATAAGAACAGTTTAGTAACTAAGGTATAACACAAATCACTACTGCTACCACCAATGATAATAATGATACAGGAAATAACAAGGGAAGAGAATACATCATCTCACCAGCAGCCGACCGATAACTCGCCCCCCCAGCCCGACCAAGCTCTGACCGATACCTCCTCCAACCCTGCAGTCTCCCAGCCCTTCCGGCTAACTCCCAGTTACATCCTGGGCATGACGTGCTGTGGTATGGAATACCTCTTTGGTCAGTTTGGGTCAGGTGTCCTGTCTCTGCTTCCTCCTGGCTTCCCCTCCTCCCTGGCAGAGCATGAGGCTCACAAAGTCCTTGGCCAAACCTAAACATCACTATCAGCTCTGTTCCCAAGCTGAAAGTCAAAACACTGCACTGCACCAGCTACCAAGAAGGGGAAAAATGACTGCTACTGCTGAACCCAGGACAGCTTTATATTGAGAACAACAGCATAAACTTACATTGAAGTCTTCAGGATGTGGCTGCGACTGGATTTCACTCTTATGTTTTTTGCTGGAGGAGATGGAAGGTAATAGACTACTGCCATTAGGTCTGCTGGAGGAAGTTAAATCATCGTTGGAGTATTTGTGTTTTGATGCATCAGAGAGGGGAGAGACGGGTGACCGAAGCATTTTCTCATTTTTATTTATTGGTATTGCCAAGCTGGAAATGGAAATTACAGTAATGGAGTGTCACAAAGCTGGCTTTGAGAAAAGTAAATGTTTTATATATTACCAAAACTTTGAATTTAAAACCTCTGGCAGGATAAAGTCTATTGGTATCTGGAAACAAGCTTATAGTATTGGGACCAAGAGTTCATTTACAAATTTGTATCATGTTTCTCCTCTTTCCCTTCAAGGGGAATTGTAATTCTGGAGTTAATACAAAGTCTGTATCAGAGTACTTGGAAAAAAAAACAAACAAACCCAGAGATAAATGGCCACTTGCTCACCACTTCTTAAGGGATAGCTGGAGATGAAGATTAGGTTCTGATGTGTAAGTTCAGGTTATGGAGTCCTATTTCACCATTACAGGTGACAATTTATAAGCCATGGCAATAAAACCACATGTGAACTAAAACAGGAGATGTGTTTAAAGATGACTGGCTTGTCTTTGTGTTCAATGTCCAGCCTTCGGTAGCACTGTTTATACTAATCTAATACAGATTTTGAAGACAAGGAAAGATAGGCTGGTAGTGCAGACAAAAAGAAACATATGCAAACAGTAGACAGTGAAATGTGAGCTGCTCTGTCTTCTAAAGTAGAAAGCTGCAACACAGTATTTTCAGCTTTCATTTATTTGGGGGAAGCTTTGGATGGGAAGTCAGAAAGACTGTAAAAATATGCCAGAAATAAACTTCAGATGCACTAATCTGAAGAAAATATTTATCTGAAAATGTTAAAGCAACACACAGAAATAAAAGTTTTTCTTTAAGGAGACAGTTTGCATGAAGACTAAACTTGTGATTAAGGTCAGACAGACTATTTTAGCACAAACCCTTTCCTTGTCACATTCCCCTTTATTCAGCCTATTACATTTTATGGACAATTCTCACTTCTTTCTTTATAGTTACTGTATCAGACAATATATGCTTAATAGAATCACAAAAAAAGAATATGGTACAAACTATACTTCATTTCTGCACATAATTTCAGGGAACAGAGCTAATTAAATGTGCTCTTATCATGCATTTGTCCATTTATCTGGCAAGTCTTTAAAGCTAGCTGTGAAAAAGGCTATGAATCGTAATTCTGAACCTTTCCTGTTTCCTACAGTGTAATACCTTGAAAACATGACATGAACTGTTTGGCTTTTAATTGCCAATGCTGTTTACAAAAGCAAGAATCAGGGCGTGTAAGATGGACAACTGTGCCATTCTTCTCCCCCTAAGAAAAATAAGATCTTTAGCACTATTTTGAATGTGCAGGCTGATGCTGTCATTTCTTTTCCTTTTTTCAAACAGAAACCTACACCTTGGCTAGCCATGTTTATACATCACTGTCAAAATACAGGCCTAAAGCATCCAAGAGAAGCCATAGCTCTTTGGAAGTGTACCGAGCCTCAAAAATTTAGCCCAGAGCTTGCGAGCAGTAGCTGCAATTTCTATTTGTGCTGCAGACCTACATGGCCATCAGCATATTGTGTAGGCCCACCTAAATGTATTCTGGGCAGTCAAACTGCAGCAGGACAATTATCAGAAGCCATGCAGAGCAACCTGCAGTGGGCTGTTACCTGCTTGGACTGGGCAGACAGTGGCATCCAACGTAGGTATGAGATATTTGGGGTATCTTTGCCTGACACTGTGGTCTTTACTGTCAAACAGGACCCTGCATAGTGTGCCCCTCAGCTTGTAATTCCACAAGAAAATGCCTGAGTCTGAAGGTGGTTTTGCTCCTCTCTTTGCTACCAGCCCTCGGCTGTGCTGACAAAACTGTGTGTGGCTCTGCTGTAACCCAGACAGAAAAAAAAAAAAAGAAAAATAAAATAAGGAATTCTGTTTTCAAACAAGTTCCTTGAGTGAATTTACAGGAGTCCCTCCACCAGCTATGGTGGCATAACTGGTCCTGATATCTACACCGCTGGTTTAGCTACAGCCTCAGTAGCTCATCCTCAGCTGTGGGAATATTAGCATTTGGTATCATGTCCTACAGTAGCATAAAGCACAGAAACATCTTGGAAGCAGGGCAGATCAGGGAAGAATTAGGAGGCAAATACACATTTAAGACCTTCCTCTTTGTTTCTTTAATGTACAGTTGCTACCAGGAGTACTGAAAATAATGTCAAGTAAACCACAAATTATTGTCCCACTTCCAGGAAGCACAGAATTAACCCTGTGACATAGCAAGCTATAACAGCCATGGTATTCTCTGAAAATGAATGCGACGTAAAACATATGACACTGAGGTAATGGGAATGGCATGCCTGCATGCAATCACCCACAATAAAACAAACTGTTCTGTGTATTGTTTTCACTTTATGAAACATATGTGACATGTCAGGACAAAGAAATTGAATGCATATTTTTAAATAAGCACTATATATATCTTAGTGTTCTCCATGATTTCTTCCAGAATTAATGACAAGACTTGCTCAAACCCATCAGTGAGGTGTACAATAGAAAAGCCTACTACAGTAAATACAAATATTTAAGTTTAGCAGTTTCACCCCAAGAGATACCATGATACTACCAGAAAATTATTATTTTTTTTTTTAATACTGATGACTAGCATGTACTAGGCAGCATGCAGCTGAACTTTGAAAAGGTGCATGTCTAAGTCTGACTGCTGGAAGCCTCCAGAGTAACACGGTACGTGTATATCTGACATTGATAGGAATCTGCGTGCATAAACCATGCCACCAGATGCTAAATATTCATTATTTGTTTCATGCTTTGCATTCTTTAAAAATCTCATTGTTTTTAAAGTCTGAGTTCCTTGTCCTAAAATACTTATTAATTATACTGAATAGATTACTTGTAATCTCAAAAATATTGTATCTCAAATATATTCTGGAATTGAATATTGCAATCATTGTTATGAACATTTTTCTCAATCTTCTCCATAGAGTTTATAGATAATTGTGTTTATACAGCCAAACTTTAAGTTTGAAGCTCACAATGCTGTAAGGAAAGAAAAGGCTATAGATGGTATGTGAATTGGTACCTACAACACAGTGTTTGTGAGTACATCTAGGACAGTTACACTGCTATAGCTATAATTACTCATTCAGTGAACCTCACACTTGAACTCACAACTTCTCTGTGCAACAGGACAAAATTCAAGTATATAAATGTGTCAGGAGCTGCTAACTTGTTCATTAAACCAGAAGAAATGAGAATGTAGTGGGTAATTTTTCAACATAAAATGTGATAATTAAAAAATAAATCCTATTAAAAAATAACACACAGCATTAAACTGCAACTAGTTGTATGACTTAGTGGTAAATAAGAAGGAAAATGCTTACCTATTTTCGTTCATATTGCAGTGATTTGCTGTTGCGATGCTGTGGGCAGAGGCAGCTAATCGTGAAGAACTCTCTCGCTCTAAGTGAGCCTTCTTGATGTCTCTGCACTCTTCCTCATTCTCACACTGAATGAAGAGAAAAATAATAATCTTGTAGGTTTTGGATTTCCTAAAGATCCAAAAGTATTTCAATAAGTCAGGGGCTGGTATATTCTGGTATATTGGTATGAATGATGACACTTTCTTTGATCATGTAACTAACATGGTTCAGAGATGATTGGTCCATGTCTTAAAAAAATCAAATCTGAAGAGGTAGTGTGTGAATAAAGGAGTAGAATACAAAACCTGAATTGTTTCCACCACTTCCCCACTTGCACCTTGGGATTCCTTATATTTCCCTCTCTGCCCATCTCCTGTACATTCTTCTCTTGCCTCAAACTTACACCTCTTTTGTCTCTGTTCCTTGGTTATCAGTGACTACGCTTATACTAGCAAATGCAACAGGTCTGCAACTGGTCTTGAGGCCAACTGACATGGCAGAGCTGGCACCCATGCATTCATCTTGCTCCTCCTTTAAGCGAGGGTATGCCATGTTCAGATTGCCTTTTGGGAAGGCACCTTAGCCTGGTCCTGAGCAAAGTTCTGTTACTGTCTGGAAGAACAGAAAGTAACCCAGCACAAAACCATGTTAGCAAGCATGTTAACAGTTACACAAAGCTGGTGACTGTGTGCCACTGCCTGGGACTGCATCCTGTCACTATCTGGCCTACTGGTATGAACATAGCCAATGTTTCCTGACACTATTTAATTTCATGTTATGTCCTTAAAAATTCCATCATAAGCTCCCAAAGGCTCTGCTTTCTCAATCTCCTGCAGAGTCCACATCCTGTTCCACTTCTAACACTTCCCCCATTTGCAGTGGTGCCTGGGTTTTACTTGTGATTTGTAGATTCTGCTGCATGTACTGCATTGCTGCATGGCAACAACATTTTCCGTGTTATCCACTGCCACTGTGGCTGTGCTATGGGATTAACATTGTGGCTTACACTCCACAGGAGTGAAGATCTTTTACCTCAGAGCTTAACTATCCTCCTCTGTCTCCAATTTACCCTTCTTCTTGAGATCATGACAGAGGTGGAAATGATAAGGACCTCTTTTTAATTTTGCAGCTATGCCTGATAATCTGTTCTTACTAGTCTTATTCATGAAGAGTTTTGGAAAGAAGGATCACATAGTTGTGCATAGCAGCTGTCCCATGGAGGATCACCAGCTCATGGTACTCCAGGAATGTTTTGTACTATATCACTTAAACCACCACCAAAAGCAGCGCTTTAAGACAGAAGAGTAAAAGTTAATATGTGCCACAGGTAGTCAGATTAAGCATTTCTAGAGTGACTGCTTTTATTTTGCTCTTCTATTGTGTCCTCCCATGTCCTTCTGGGTGTCCAGCCTGGCACTATCACATTGGCATCTCTTATGGCCTAAACCAGAAATATTTTGCCTTTGCCACTCCTTCTTGACCCGTTTCCCATCATTTTGTACTATGCAATTACTTCCATGCTACTTCTGAAAGAAAAGGCAAACACATCTCAAAGCTTATCAGAGCTCTCTGTTATGGCTCTACAGGTGGCCAGAAGAGGGTTGCCACTTTTCAGATACTAAAAAAAGAACTCAAAAGTGAGAAAAAAAAGATAAAAAACCCCTCTTTTAAATAAACTGTCCTAAAAAGTATACAGATCAATTTGCACATGTATGGTAGCTCAGAGGGTGACAGTAAAAACTGCCCAGAAATTGGGCAGCTGGTGATTCCAGTTGAGGGACTTTTGCAGTCAGATCAGTACAAACGGACATGAAAGTCTCCTCAGTGGACAGCTGCAGCCATGGGGTGGAAGGGGCTTTTCACCACTCCTAATACCCAGTTTTGGAGAGAAGCCTCAGGAGAGAAAACTACACTAGTAAAGATGCAGTGCAACCACGAAGGTGTGGAAAGCCATATGCCAGCAGCAAACACCATCTCCAAGGGGCTGTGATACCTGGTGGCCAGGAGTTTTATCACCTCCTGGGATGGCATCTCCAGAGCAGCTTGGCCAGTTCCTATGCAGTGAGAGGGGACAAATCCCAGCTCTGAACTGCCAGCCTGGAGACAACACCACCATTGAGCACTGCATGTGGGCGCAGACAATGCTTGCCTCTGATATGCCGGAGGCTCCCCCACCCACCCTTATAGGTCCCCTTGAAGCTCACCTTGCGTTTCCTTCTAGATTTCGGTAAACCCTTCTCTGCGGGGGGGTCAGCACTACTACCCTGCGGGAGGCTGGCCGCCTGGTTTGCTCCAGCGCTCATGGCCAGTGGCTCTTCAGGCAAACGCTCTGGAATCCTGGACAAAAGAGCCAAGTCAATGTTGACCCACAGTGACTTTACCTCATCACTGTCTTTCAGAGGAGACAGGAGCTCATTCCTACCGAAAGGAACCAGGGTGTAAAACTGGTCCTCCAGCTCCTTTGCTATTTCACTACTAGTCCTGGCATTAATGGAGCCAAAGGCACTGCAGCCACCATGGGGTTTGCTGGCGGCGCTGGTCCCCGCGTCCTTGGTGCGCGGCTCGGACCCGGCTGCCACGGGCACCTTGGGCAGCGGGCGCTCCTCCCGCTCCGACTCGGAGCCCGAGTCAGAGGAGGATGATGAGGATGAAGACTCGGTCTCGATGAACTCCTTGGACTTGGGCGCCGTTTTGCTTGGCCCCCGCGCCCGGCGCTTCTCGCTGGTTGCAGCCGGGCGGGGCTCCCGGCGGTGCCCCGCTCTGCAGCCACTGTTGTTGGTGCTGCTGGTGCCAGGCCGGGCCCTCGGTGCCTCGCTAGCAGTGCTCTCCACAAAGCTGTGGCTCCCGGGGGGCTCCTCCGCGCTGGGGCAGTGGGGGCCGTCGCCGGCAGAGGTCCTCTCGGCCCGCCGCGGTGCCTTCTTCCCCGCCGCCCGCCTTGCAGGCCCACCGTCGGCCGCAGGGGGTGACTTTTGCCGGCTGCCCTTGCTGCCCGGTGCTTTGTTGGCGGTCCTGGGCCGCAGTCCGTCCCCGGTGGTGGCGGCGGCGGCGGCGGTGGTGGTGGTGGCACGGACCTCCCCGCTGCGGTGCTCGGCTGGGCCGGTGGCTGGGGTCTTCTCGCTTTCCTGCTGTTCTGCCTTCACACGATTGTAGTAAGGATGGGCCTCCAGCGCTGGGCCGTCATGGTGGGTCAGGATGGGTGCTTTGTGTGGGGTGACTTTATTCAGCCACTTGTCCAGCTGCCACTTGTTGGATGAGGGTGGCTCGGGCTGAAAGGGAAACAGATGGCAATGAGCTCAGTGCTGAGACCCTACTGCCCTCGTCCCGGGGCTCCCTCAGGGACACCAAAACACTGGGTCTCCTCTGATCAAAGAGTCATCCCCAAGACACAGCAACCCCCAGGCACGGGCCCTGGAGTGGGACACGTGGGGCATGCCGTGCAAGAAGGAGTATTTTTGGTTTCAGAATGAGGTTGGGAAGGAGGACAGCTTCTGTGATTCATCATTTCTAAGGATGATTCATGCAGTGCTACTGGCATCAGCTTTGCTGGGAAATGCTCCCAAGTTTCCAAATAGAAGAAGATGTAATGGCAAAAGGAAGGGAGGAAAACAAGGCAGGGGTACAGCTAATGCTAAGGGAGGATAGCTAGTAGGACAGCTACAGATTTGTATTTTGTGTCCTGGGCCATAGCAATAAATAAATGAAGTACTTAAAAAGCACACAAAAAGGCATGTAGTGGGGATTTGAAGGGCTAACCAGATGATTCATGTCATCTGGCTGGTATTGATGTTATAATCTTGTGAGATCCCACAAACATTTGTTGTGTGGTGGTACTGTCAAGTACTCATTTTGTGAGTACTGTGTGGCTGCTGACTTTTCTCTGTTCCTGTCACAACACGATGAAATTATAAGAGAGCATCTAAAACATAATGGTGTTTGGACAGCGAATAAGTGGGATAATCATCATTTCAAAGGTAACCACAGCTCAGACAATGTTATTTCAGAACAACGTGCAAGTGTTTTCTAGTGCTTCTTGCAATCAGTAATTTGAATGTAATAAAATGAATGTGAAAGGCAAATAAACCCAAAAGAAACAAATGATGGAGTAGATGGCCAGCCATAACCTAGCCTCACAGAAGCCAATGTGAGAAGTCTCCTAATTTCCTTACCTGGAACCAAAATCCGATCCACTAGGTTACTGCATATGAATAATCAAAAAAGTGTGTCATGAGTCTAACATGGAAACCATCAATACTTGGGAAGAAAGTTTGCTCAAGAGAGAATATCCGCAGACTAACTTGAAAGAGTCTTTTACATCCTATTTAAAGTAGGTGCCTGGGGGCAACACAGGTTTCCTGAACAGCCAAGGGTGTCTCCAGAATCACCTACTGAGGGTTGTATTCACTCTACATGGAGCAAAGGCTCCTAAAATAAGCAAAACAGTTAGACATTGGAATTCACATGATACAAATATTTCTTCTTGCAAAAGCGTCTAATTCACTTATTACTGAGCAAGCCAATACCTATGGGAAGTTTGCTGGATTGCCTTATGTTTGTTTTTTCTTCAGCATACTCCCTAATATCTTACATGAGGAATTTCTTCCCTGAGCTGTAAATCATGAAAATGGATGGGTAGTATTTCTTTTGGATGAAGATATATTTTTACAACTCTTAACTCTTTATCTAAAATAAACAGCATTTTTTTGATTGCTGCTGAAAATACAGATAGATTTGTTTGGTGCCATTCATTGTACACATACTGAATTTTATAGATATATAGTTAAAAGTTCACTATACATGGAAGTCTTTCCATTGTTCAGGTGTATTTAATGAAAGGACATACATCAGAAGCATGTGGGGAAAAATATACCACTGTCCATAAGTATAGGTCAAAGTGAATATAGCTAAAAAAACTTCCAGCTTTCCTGTTAAATCCCATTCTGTCTCTCGATGTACCTTGTAATTCTGGAAAACAGTAGTTCACAGAATATGGATTTCAAGGGATTACAGTAAACCAGCAGAAACAGTGATTAAGTGCTACAGTGTCATAACTTGGCAATGTGGTACTTTCCTAGAATGATATGTCTGCTATTTAGGCAGAGTAACTACAGTCTCACCAACCTATAAGCCAGCTGTGAAGTCTAATAAAAAAGATCAACAATGTTGCCAGATTTACTAATTTTGTCAGGAGTTTCAGGACACTCATTATTTTTTCTTAAAGCTTTGGCTCTCAGAATCATGGGCTTAGAAGCATTTCTGGGATTTATTTAAATAAAAAAATCAAATCCTTATGAATAAAGGCTTCTGAATAAAACCTTGGGACATGTGTCCTTAAAAAAAAAAACAACCCTTTAAGATTCATCTGCTAAAAAGTACAAAGCCTGCAGGCCATCAGGTAAATGAAAAGAACCTAAATTTTTAAAAAATCAGATTTTAAAACATTTTTTTAAATATTTTTGGGCCCTGGTTCAGTTTTGTCAGTGTGCATGAGTGATGCCAATTCACTTTTGGAAGTAATATATGCAATTGATTGCTCTAACTGAAAAGTACTGTGCTTAGAAATCACTTAAAAAATAAGGCACCTTGAAAGAGAACAAACCAGGACAGCCAAGAATGAAGAGCAGGCCTGATAAAAAAAGGGATTGGGAAAATTCACTTGAAAGTTTTCACCAGTCCACTTTACATGACTAACTGCAATTATCTGTGGGAGAAAAAGAAAACCCCTAATTCTGCTGTCCACATCACCCCCCCCACCACCACCAGCATGTCACATACCATTCTATGGAAGACAAGTTAGTTTGCTCAGTGGGAAGATTTCAGCTGTATGTAAGGATGGAAATACATATAAATATATATATAAAGAATGGTCAGATAACAGAATGGTCTCTGTTGCTTGTTTTTTGTGTCATGGAAATATGCTGCCCTCAAGGCCTTGTAGAGAACCAGGCAGTTTTGAATTGAGGTAAAGCTGGTGGTGCCCAGATGGGCAGCAGTAGTAGGAATAACAGTCTGTGATAAAGCTGACTTGCAATGAAATGTGGATTTGGCATGAAAACCCAAATCAAGAAACTTTACAAGACAAAGATAGTTTCAGGGATCAATGCACCACAGACGTACACATGTGCCAGGCTTCATCGAGAAACAGAAGGATGTGATACACTTCCTTAAAAATTGTGGGTGGATTCATCTGTACAACATAGACACCTATATCTCAGCTAGTCAACGAGTTCCTTCTCCAGTCAGTGGACTAGTCTTCTAGGGTGCGAAAAAATCCTTCTCAAAATAGACATCTGAAATAGGCCAGATGAGCTGGGCCCTAAAAACGTCTATTCCTCTCCACCAAGTGTAAAGGGGAGGCTGAAGTGATAAGCAGATGTAGGTATCTACACTGAAAGTGTCAAAATTTAGGTGGGATGACTCCCACACAGTACATCTATATATCTAAGATATCTTCAAGGCTACAAGTGCAACCAGAAGCATGAGTGGCATGCATCCAAAAGAAACCTTTGTCAAAATATTATCCAGAAACACTGTCTGGGATAAAGGGCTGTTAAGCAATATAAGAGTTAATGGGGTTGCTTGCTATTACAAAGAGGGACCTAAGGTGTAGCAAATACCACTGCAAACTTAAAGCATGACACCACTTTCATTGGCGAATTAGGCAGCCTGTAGTATGTGCATGTATTTAGCCTGCTGTGGGGTGGGACTGAGCTATCTACTGTCCCTGCAGTATACTCCGCCTATTGTAAATCCACATACTAATTCACCCTTACGATAACTTGCTTGTGCTGCCCTGATAGCAAAGATTTCCTTTACGGCAATCCCCATACAAATGTGGTACCTTTTCATTGTATTTAAGGCATAGATTATAATGAAGAAGATAATGATGATGATTATTATTACTACTACTACTTTATTGCTACTATTAGCACTGTTGCTAGTGCTTTATCAAATTAGAACTGGGGATTCCCGTGTGCTAAGCACAGCACATATATATTGTAAGAGGTGATCCCTGCCACAGAGAGTTTTCTGGAGGGAAGGGAGAGTTTAGTGTGTAGTCATTGTCAAAAGTAGTCCACAGGACAGCTAAAGACCATGAATCCTATTTGCAAAGGTAAAGATAGTATCCACACTTGGTCTAGTGGTAAAATCCTCTTTTCTTCTGAGGGTACCGGTCAAGAAATTTTTCGTGGTTTAAACCCAGATGGTAACTCAGAACCACGCAGCCACTCACTCACTTCCCCCTTCTTCCCTCCCTCCCATTGCTCCCAAAGGGGTGGGAAAGAGAATTGAAAGAATGTAACTCCCACGGGTTGAGATAAGAACAGTCCAGTAACTAAGGTATAACACAAACCACTGCTGCTGCCACCAATAATAATAATGATATGGGGAATAACAAGGGGAGAAAATATAAAATTGAAAGGGGAAAAGAAAAAAGAAAACAATAAACACAAGTGATGCACAATACAACTGCTCACCACCTGCCAACCGATACCCAGCCTGACCTGAGCAGCGATCTAGCCCTTCCAGGTAACTGCCCCCAGTTTATATACTGGTCATGACGTGCTGTGGTATGGAATACCCCTTTGGCTAGTTTGGGTCAGGTGTCCTCTCTCTCCTTCCTCCCAGTTTCTTGTGCCCCTCCTCACTGGCAGAGCATGAGACTGAAAAGTCCTTGACGGGGGCAAGCAGTACTTAGCAACAACTAAAAACATCAGGTGTGTTATCAGCACTGTTCTCAGACTAAAGGCAAAAACACAGCACTGCACCAGCCACTAAGAAGGAAAAAAATGACTGTTACAGCTGAACACAGGACAAAATTGAATCATAGCTATACTTAAGATGGGAAGCAAAAACTTTTTGGAAAACAAGACAAATAGATATAGAAAATATACCTCTCCTACCCTTCAGCTGTAAAATACAACTCTTCTTTCCCTGCCTTCCTACTGAAACCTATCAGAGAGGAACAGCCAGTGAGGTGGCAGAAGCATGCTCAACAGTTAGCTAGTCTGCTATACACATTCTTTCTATTTTCCAAGCTAAGGAGAAGTGAGCCAGTGCCACAGAGCACCTGAGAAAATGGCAGGAACTCACATGAAATGGCTCCTTAGCCATTGGTACTGATGTCCAGGCACTTGAAGAACTTGATGCACAGTGGTCAGGAGGTGGCTCTCTGCTAATGGCAGAGGAGGATGGGGAAGAACATAACCATACAAAACACTTCAGCTTAGACCTGGTCAGTCACAACATAGAATCACAGAATCATAGAATGGTTAGAGCTGGAAAGGACCTTTAGATCATCTAGTTCCAACCCCCCTGCCATGGGCAGGGACACCTCACACTAAACCATATCACCCAAGGCTCCATCCAACCTGGTCTTGAGCACTGCCAGGGACAGAGCATTCACAACCTCCCTGGGCAACCCATTCCAGTGCCTCACCACCCTTACAGGAAAGAATTTCCTCCTTATATCCAATCTAAACTTTCCCTGTTTAAGTTTTAACGCGTTACCCCTTGTCCTGTCACTACAGTCTCTAATGAAGAGTCCCTCCCCAGCATCCCTATAGGCCCCCTTCAGATACTGGAAGGCTGCTATGAGGTCTCCACGCAGCCTTCTCTTCTCCAGGCTGAACAGCCCCAACTTTCTCAGCCTGTCTTCATACGGGAGGTGCTCCAGTCCCCTGATCATCCTCGTGGCCCTTCTCTGCACTTGTTCCAGCAGTTCCATGTCCTTTTAATGCTGAGGACACCAGAACTGCACACAGGTGAGGTCTCACAAGAGCAGAGTAGAGGGTCAGGATCCCCTCCTTCGACCTGCTGGTCACACTCCTTTTGATGCAGCCCAGGATACGGTTGGCTTTCTGGGCTGCAAGCACACACTGCCGGCTCATGTTCATTTTGTCATCGACCAGCACCCCCAAGTCCTTCTCTGCAGGGCTGCTCTGAATCTCTTCTCTGCCCAACCTGTAGCTGTGCCTGGGATTGCTTCGACCCAGGTGTAGGACCTTGCACTTGGCATGGTTAAACTTATCCTGTGATGATGGAATAAGCATGGACAAAAAGCATATGTGAATTCAGAAGCTATAGAAGACACTGCATCTGATGTGTGGGGCTGGTGGGGCCCAAGACAGGACACCTCTCTCTTCTAACCTTGTTACTGTTGACTAGCCACTGATGCTTTGTCCCATGCGATAGAATCTCTGCTTTCTTCCTGCCCATTCTCCCCTCTAGTCCACCCTACATAGTGGGAATTCCAAGTAACCTAACCAGATTCCGCCTTACAAAAGGTCTGCTGGATAATTCAATGGAACAAAGAACAAACAAACCAAACTCTTATCTTTTGAAATGTAGCCCCTTCTATGGACTTGACACCTAAGGCTTTTTTCTACCATCCAAAATAATTGCAAGGACAAGTTGTCATTGTTTTCCAGAGTCTTCATTTATGATGTTAATTACGATCATGCAAAGAATTCATGACTTCAGCAAAAAAACAGGAGATAGAAACCTCAGTCCCTTGTTCATAATTTCAGGCTTGGCAGTCCACAAACCTGTAACTACTCACATTAATGTCTCAGGCACCTTAATTTGTCCACATCACTGAAACCAGTCTGAATGTTGTCTCCTGCTCTAGCTCTGCCATTATTCTTAGTTTACTGCAGACATAAAGTGTAGACAGCTGAGCTAGACACCACAGGCTCTAAATAGTCAATGGAAAGAAACAGACACTTTTAGGGTGCAATTCATCTAATCTGTTTTATATGTATGCTTTACAATGAGCTGCTTTTACACTCTAGGCAAGTGCATTTAGACACCTGATAACAACTCCAAGATCTCAAAATCAGGTGAAGAAAAAATTAGAGAAGAAATGAAGCAGAAGAAATTGAATTTCTATATATCCTGAAATGCAGAAGACACAGTGTCCTAGAAATAAAAACCTTTGAGGATACGCATATGATATTTCAGATTATGGAAAAAAAGTAATAAGAATCAGGTCCTCATAATGGTCTGCAGATTTCCAGATTAAGTTTCTCCCTACCTGGAAATATGGATTTCCTGCCCGGCACTGTACTGGAGTACTGAAGTTCTTCATACCCAAATTCATCGGTTTATGCTAAAGCAAAAGCAAAGATGTGTTTGCTTTTTCTGTCGTATCCAATAAATGAATTTAATTTTAAAACTAGGACTGAAATTGACTCCACTACTTAAAGTTAGGTGGAGAGAGCCTTCCTTTAAAGAGCTTCCAAGGACCTGTTTCTGTCCATTTACTGGGTAAGAGCATGGCATGTACTTTAGAAAGACGACTTTACTGGGTGCATAGATGCAAGTTAAAACATTAATGCAAAGCAGACAGGACTTCCATCACATCAGCACATTTTGAACTGGTGCCATCAGTCATATGATGGACCTGGGAAAGCACTGGCCGTTGGGGAAAGCACAGGTATCCTACTTTCCTGGAACACCCTGACCCTACCCACATATGGCCTCTTCCGTATCCCATCAAGGCATGACCTATGAAAACCACTGCAGCCATCACATTTTTTGAGCCATTTACATTTTTGTATAAGCAAGTTTCATGCAGCATATCCTAGAAGGCAAACCACACAAACATAATGCAAAGAGACAAGCAGTCTTTTGGAGCAGTGCAGCTGTTTCGTGACAATGATCACTGATAATTCAGGCTATGTACAAAAGTAGTTCCACAGATCTCGAGAGGATATGCATAAAATGATGAAGAGGAGGCACTTTATCCACATTTCCATGACTCTCAGTCCCCTGCTTGACTTTATGAAATGCACGAGCTGCCTCAGTTAATTAACTTCCTGCATTCCCTGAGGAATGACTGCTCTCAGGTCTAAGCAGCACAGGTATCTGCCTAGATTGTAAACACTCCTCCTTTCCTGGGTACTATGCTTCTCCTCTTTTTATCTCATATTTCCTTCTCCCCACAATGGTTCCTTCTGTTTCTTCTCTTTGTCCCTTTTCTTCCACCTTCTGAGATCCCGCAGGGAGAAGAGAAACTGTGCTTAAGATCTCTGTGCTAATTCGAGCGGGGAACTAGGCAGAAAGAGAACAAGGTCTTAACAGGTCGGATGAGAGAGCTCATAATGGGGTAGCACAGTGAGGGCAACAAGGAAAAGGCACTGGAAGGAAAAGAATAGAGACAAAAGGAAAGAGAACCAGAGAGAGATTTAGGAAAGAGACAAAGTGAGAGGAAAATTAACTGGAAATGGATCTGAAAGTACTGTGAAGGAAAGGCAGAAAGGAAGATATGTGTTAAATAAGGAACAAAAGTGACAGAACCTGAGAAAAATATACTAAGGATGTTTCTGCGAGCGCTGCATTTTGCCTGATAGGAAACATGGGCTCCCAAAAAATGAGAAAAGATGAGGAAAGGCTTGCTGGTTATTCAGTATAATTTTTCAGGGTGAGAGAATAAGCAAGGCATAGTTTTGAGGGGAGGAGTCTGGTGATTGGATGCTTTATGTGGAACAGGAAAATACACTGACTGCATTTCATATGTATTTACAATCTTGCTGCTAGATTTCTGAATATTTTTACATACATTAATGTGTGTGATGTGGCTGTGGAGCTCATGGTTTTATACTAAATTTGTGTATTGACCGAAGCATGTAAAAATATCATTCCTGGTAGAAAAGAGGAGCAGAGAAAGCAGCTTTGTTGTGTCTGTTGAGCCCTGTGCAGAGGTAAAAGCAGAAGGTGGCACAGCGCTGCCAGCTTAATTGTAATTTGGCTAGGGCTTGTCTACATGTGGAAATTTTCAGTGCTGGCTTTCCAGATGAAAAGTTTGACCTTAATGTTTTGCACAATGAGGAATTCAGTTTAGTCCATTTTGGAGGTGGATTAAAATAAATCACACAAAGGCAGCAGTGACAGAGAATAATTCACTTAGAAAGTGAGGTGAGGGAAGTGTGTGAGCGAAAAACAACTGTTTTGCTTTAAAAATCCACCCTCAAACTGATTTTATAATAGCTTCCCTGTGCAGAGGAGCCTTTAGTTCCCTTGCAGTGCTGGGAGTCCACACCAGGACTTCCTCACTAAGCAAGCCATTGCTATTGAGCCAGAGTTGCATAAAACTCAAGCAAGCTGTGAGCCTTGCAAGTCTCTCCACTCATCTCCAATTTGAGGAAAATATCACAGGGTTATTTCTCGCTTCATCTTTGTTTCAAACACCTTAATCTGCCCCAGGATTCCCTGCCACTTGCATTTCACAGCACGTTAGGGGGAGGATCCCTGGGCTTTTTTCTGCCCTTTTTTTTTGTGTTACTCCCCACAGCCTCCTTGTGTTGGCTTGGCTGGAAAAAGGTCTGAGTGGGTGTAATAAGGGGTTGCTGCCCTAAATGATAAAGAGCAGAAGCCCTTACCTCTGGACTGGAGTAATGGGAGGGCTTGCTGCCGTCACTCTCACTGGAGCTGCTTTCGCTCTCTGAGTCAGACTCTGAGCTGGTCTCGGATTCACTGGAGCTGCTGCTGCTTGACCCCTTGCTGGAGAGTCCCGAGGCTCGGGCGTTGGACTGCGGCACCACCAGGCTGCCAGCCCCCCACACAGCCCATTGTGGAGGGGGGAGGGAAGAGAAGAAAACAAGAACATAAAAAACCCACATGTAAAACCATCGTGTTTTAGGGAGCATACTTATCTAAATGCTTGTGTGTTTGTCTCTGATGCTAATGAAGGGTGAAATGAGTTCACCACTACGTTATTAGAACTGGGGGGGAAATATGGGGTTACCCTCCTATCCATTTAATCCATAACCTTTGCCATTTCTTCTTCATTTGAGGGAGGGTCAAGTTTTCACTTCAGCTTGTCTCTTTTCTCATACAACAGACATTTTAGGACATATTAAAAATACCAAAAGTTAAAATCCAGTATAGAAAGCAGTCTTACACTGTCTAAGGAACACTCTGCAAAGAGGTAAAAGCAGGAGATGGAAAAGGTGAACAGTTAAGAAACGGAGTTGAACTCCACAATACCAGTCATTTATAAGTAATAATAGCAATAATGATAATACATCCTCACTGGAGTTTCCAACCCTCATCTTTTTATTCTGCACACTTCTTCACCTACCCGTAAATGACATGGTTACCTGTATATACCATCTTGATATTGGCAACTGCAAGATCTAAGGCTCTGATCTTAAGAAAACCCGAAGAGCTGTCTTGTGCTTCTGCATGTCAGTAGTGCAGTGCTGTCAGCAGAGCTACTTGCCTTCTTAAAAGTTATGTTTGCATGCAAGTGTTTGTATTACCAGGCCTGACAGCAGAAGAAATATATACTTTCTTGAAATAGTTGACCATGCATATTGAAAATATAACAGTCATAAAGACTTGAGTGTGAAATGTCCTATTAAGTCATCCGGCTTATTCCCCAGGCCATGGAAGATTGTTCCCTATAGCAGGGTGCACTTTCTAGCGAGTTGTCCAATTTGATTTTAAGTAACTTGAATGCAGCTTTTACTTTTACCCCTGGGAAACTTTCCTGCAAACTAACCCAAATTCCACCGTCAGAAATTTCTCCCTACATTCAACCTGAAGTTGCCCTTTTTAAATTTATTGTTACTTATTATTTCATCCTATTACTAATAGTTACTATGATAAATTGTCCTCCTCCCTTTTTGCTTTCACATATTTGCAGATTGTTTTTCTGCGCTACTTCAGTCATATTTCAGACAAGGCCTTACACATTTACTTCTTCTGATCTTTCTTCATAAGTCATTATCTCCAGGGATATGGGATCATTTTTATGGCTATTTTCTGAACTCATTCCAATTTGTCTATATCTCTGTGATAACAGGATGCCCAAAACAGAGTGCAGCATTATAGATGGGTTCTCACTAGAGCCCTACAATGAAGGGCTGTTACCTTCCTGATCCTTGATGCGTTGCTTCTGTAAACATATACCCAGGCTGTGATGGAATATATAGTCCATTAACACTCCTACCTCTCTTTCAACACTCTTTTCTCCAGAATTCTTCCACCAATAGCTACTTTTTAGATTAATTGCTTCCAGAGAGATTTAGCTTGCTTTTTTTCTTCATACCAGATCTCATTTTCTTCTTTATTGCACATGCTTCCAGCTCTTTTGATTTATTTCTTTGCCCTCGGAGGTGTCTGAAGCAACTTCTAATTTAGTATCAAATGCAGACTTAATTAAATGGTTATTCACTTCCTTTTCCAGATCATTAATGAGACTGTTAAATAAGCCCCACATGAAACACACCAGTACCCTAATAACCATCTCTTCCCAACTCCCATTCATTGGTGTTTATCATTACCCTTGTTTATGCTCCATCAGTCCAATATTGTGGTTAATGCAATGTGATCTTGGAGATGCATTTTGTGAGAAATAATAACTAATAATTAATTACAGTTCTGCTATGTTGCACCTAATGAATTGTATTTACCTGCTAATGGTGCATTTCATTCTGGAAAACTCGTACCTGACACCTGGCACAAGTCACATATAACAAGCAATTTCTGGGGCTTTAAAAAGAGGCTGGGCTATCAGAGATGCAGTTTCAATGCCATGATTCCCCATGGCCACACACTTACTGGCCCTATCCCTGCCTCCCCTAACATATGCCAACCTTTCCCACTGGACCACCTGTCTTGCACAAGCCAGTACTCCTACCACATCATGTTTACTTAGAGTATCCCCTTTGCCTTTTGCTAGGAAGCGGCACAGCTCTCCATGGCTTTCTTGCTCCAGAAAGCTTCTGGTTGCTTGGAGAATAGTGCTGCTATTGGAGAGCTTTTTGTACCCTTTGAGGCACAGTGAAGCCAGGCAGTGCAGAAAACTTCACCTGTGATCTCACCTTACTAATTAAAGCAGGTAAAATAAAGAGGAGAGGAGGAACTGACATCAATTTATACTTTTGACCTTTATTTCCATCCTTGTTGCCATCAGGCAGTAGAGAGAGGGGCAATAGTAAAAGCTCACGCTCTGGCAAGATGACTTGGTGCTACATGAATGTTAGCAGAAGTGCCTGCCAGCTCTTGGGAGGCAGGAGGTCTGTCATCACGCGCAGGCATTAAATTTGCCAGTTACAATGAGTGCCTTTAAAAACTTGCCCTCTGCTATTTTTGTTGTTATTCATGATGTCTCTGTCTAGCCAGGTAGGTATGGTAAACATGAGATTTTCAGGCAGCCATTTGTATAACAACACAGAATCATAGAATAGTTACGAAGGCACAGAGATGCCTGAAACAGAAACAGCTTATAAGCTTGCAAAATTTTTCCTTCCCAGAGAAGGAAAATTGATATTTTGTGCACTGCTTTGGGACAATGCTGTTTTCCTCTTGTACAGGTTGGCCAGTAAACTCTATATATAAGTTGCTTACTTTTATTAACAGACTGCAGTCAACTCCTTGCTAATAAAATAGTGAGAGCCATATAAAGGCCATTGTGAGTGGGTTTTGATTTTTTATTTTTTTTATTTTTTATGGGAGTATGAAAAGGTAACTGTCTTTTCTGACAGTGGAGCTTAGGGAATGCTTTTGACAGTGTCTGACTCTGATGGATTTCCAGTGCTTTCCACAACAGCATTGTGACTGTTGCCTGAAAAGTTCTTCAACATCACAAAACATCTGCACATTTACGTCCTGCCCTTAGTGGCTGTGGTTTTAATTTTTAAACCATTATTTTTGTTTGGCATTGTCTGAAGCATTCAGAATTGCTATATAGGGAATGAGGAAATAAAAAAAATCCCAATGTAATATTTCTTTCCTGTTGTGACATGAAATGTTTTTCTAGGCTGCTGAATAGAAATTACTACAGCCATAGATATAAAATACAACAGTTGGACTCTTCACAAACATCTGGAAATCTGTGTTTGCTGCTGTAATGGTAGCCAATATACTATGAAAATTTAACATTACAATATTTTCTCATTTATGCTGATACTGTTGAAATCTCCTGTCACCCTTTTACCTTTTCCATTTTTAAATAGAGTGTATTCTGATAAGGATACTCATTATATTATAGTGACCAGAGTGAAAATAGTTATATGTTTTTTCATGCATTCCTATTAGAAAATAACCATTATTTTAAATTGGTGACTTCCATTTTGGACTGTTTTTTCTAAAGTATGTAAGCAAGATCATGAAGTCAAAATAAAAGACCGATTTACATTTTAATGACCATGGCACACAACATTCATGCGTATTTTGCTACTGGCTTATGCCCCAGAGTTAATTACTACATCATAGAAATGTTAGTTTTATTTTAAGCTATTAAACCACAATTTGGGTGAGAACCACTTTTCTTTAAAGCCCTTCATCAGAACATTCACTGTCTGACTTGAGAGAGTAAATACCGTGTTAAGTTGCCAGAAGTTCATTAATAAGATCAGCTAAAAACCAACACGCTGTCTGAAGTTTCTGTTCAGATATCTCCCATCATCCTGCCTACATGGAACTTGGGCATCTGAACATGGTGCAAGCCTCCAACAATATATTTTCCTGCATTGGCTAGGGGACAAGTCACCCTTCTCTGAAAAACTGCTAGGTGCCTTGTAACCTCACTTTTTCTCAGATATGCAGATTCAGAAACACAGTAATTTGAGGAAATTTATATGGCTAATTTGTGATCCAAATTGAGAGGCGGAGCCATCTCAACCCCTGGAGAAGCCTGAAAGGTTAGTTGCGGTGATACCAGTTATTAGCATCATCAGACTGCATGGCCACAGCAGCTTTGAACATGACCAAGGTGGTTTAAACACTTGTGCAGGAAAGTGCAGGTGTTTGCTGTTCAGTTGGTGGATATAGATTCCCAAATCAGGCTGCTTCAGTGGCCCTCAGGAGATCTCCTGAGGTTAATCACCTGGACCTGGGTCCTGCTCTGTGCTTTATATTAAGCTGTTGCTTACAGCTGCACTACCTTCTATGCTAATAAATCATGGCATTCTTGGCCACAGGAAGTTCCCAGGCAGCTAAGCATATGCTGAATTGCAGGAATTCAGTCTCAGAGTTTCAGAGATGGTCTGCATGGATGCCTGATTAAGGTACAAGTAAAACAGATGCAGCTCTTTACCAGACTGCTAGTATTTGGTAACAATGTTAAATGGATTCAAAAGAGAAAAATCCCTGTTATGCTGAAAAATTTGGCCAGTATCATTTGCATAGTTGTGATCATCTCTACTATTTTGCTTCTAAATCTTACCTTACGGCACTGTATGCCAAGCAGTGTGCAACTATTGAGTGGCCCTGACTCCCCAAAGGCTCCCTTTCCCGTAGGAAAGAGGAATGCAACAATTAGTGCTAAGAGTTGACTTGAATAAACAAATCACATTGTCAGCATTGAGAGGTAAGCATGGAGAAGGTGATCTGGATTAATATAAAATGTCACAAACTTTTGAGAAAAAAACAAGAAAGGCTGTATGAATGCTCGCAGTATTTGAAATATCTGAAAAATCTATCACTGTCTGGAAGATCAAGGCCAATTGTGGGAAAACAATACTCTGAAACAGACACCAGTCCCTTGGCTGGTATAAACTGTCATAGCTCCATTGACTTCAATTAGGCTACAGTGATTT